TTCAGATGTCATTGCTGATTAGACTGTTGTTTACTTTCTAAATTGTATCTCATTCTCCATTACAGATTTTCCTAAAAGCTAATTTCACTGAATATATATGCCTATGATCTGACAGTTTCTATCTCAGTTGTTGTTGTTGTTGTTTCTGCATTAGATTACTCTGATATCAGTAATTTCTCAGCCAAGGTTAATCGATTCGCTCAAACTGAACCAGTCTAAATGTCAGACTGTTTTATTTCCAAGCGTGAAGAAGCCTTATGTAGACTGATTCTTTTCCAGTCTTTGTTCGTCATCTCATATTTTGTTGCTTCCTAAGAAAAGTTTTTGTTTGACTGATAACATAAAGAATTAGAGACATCCTTGCATAATTTAGTCTCTCTTGTTTAAGAAAATTATTGACTTATGTATTCTACCCATTCTTTGTCCTCTTCCTTGTTACTCCCCCTTATTCCTCTCTGGGTTTCTCAGAAAGAACTATGTTGTATTACAAAAGACTTTGAAGGCTGTTAGAAGGAATGGTGAACTAGTGTCAATGATCCAAGTAACTGACATTATGTAAAAAATTATATTTGTAAAATCTCAGCGAGATTGAAATGAGTAATTCCAACGTTTCGTTCGGCAATCTGGTCCGAACTTTCCAGGGAAGGTGTGATGTTAGCTGATGCATAGGAAATCCTGATTAATAAATAAAAAATGGATATGTATCGCTAATTATTAATACTTGGTCAAAATTCCTGACTGTCCACATCTTCTTATGGAGACGTTAACAAATGTTTTACAACTGTTTACCCACACACACATACACACTCTGTTTAAAGTGTTTAACAAAGGTAGACCAATATTTGTAAGTCCGATGTCAAATTTTGATCACAGCTTATAAAATTTTGTTTATAATATTTGTTGAATGACTCATCATTGGACAAATTTTTAAAAACAAGTGATGTTCCTTTTATATATAAACCCCTGTTATGTTAATTTCGATTAATTTCCCTGAAGAAGTTCCGACCAGATTGCTGAACGAAACGTTGGAATTACTCATTTCAATATCGCTGAGATTTTACAAATATAATTTTTGATAAATGTCTACTTCTCACTCGGCGCCCAAATATTTTAGAACTATTCTGTCAAATCTTGATGACAGTTCATTTGAATACCTGACATTATCATTGTTGTTGTTATTGATAGGTATTTTAGTTCTCACAAGTAACTGACAATAATCACTTTGTCGGATAGTGAATATCCCTCTTATTCTCAATTTTCTCCCTGTATCTCTCCGGGTAGAAATGGGAAGAAATTTCCTTGATATTTTTGGAAGACACAGAACCCAATTTATCAAACAGCTATTTATATGTATACAGTTTTGTATCCTTTAACCAATCACTGAGCGTGTGATTTTTGTCTACATTAAATGACATGAAATAGAATGTTTAAATACATATATATCGTATTCTGTTGCTAATGCCGTATTGAACTATGGGATTATGTGAGAATAACATTCCCTTGGAACCCATTGTCTGAATCATACCACCACAATCTTCCCTGCGTCAAATTCTTCCGACTGAAGTCGGCTCGGTCTGCTTGGTTCTGGCGTCTTCTCTTGACTGGCTTGCTATATCTTGTTCCGGAGCTCGATGATGTTCATCCGCTTCTCTTTGTTTACCTTTCTGATCGTAGATAGGTGACCGGGTCTCGCGGTGATTGTGTATAGTTCTTCCTATTGTGGAAGCAGTTTGTGTGACCCTTGCGCGTATCCGCTTGTGTTTCGCCTCACACTATCATATGTCCGACCTCCCAGCAGCGTTCCAAGTAACAGCTTTTTCCTTGACGGATCTTGAACGCCATTCAACTCTGCAACAACCTCGGAGTCCTGAAAGAAGATCCATATGTCTCCTTCTTCGAAAACTACAGGACACAGGCTTTTCATTTGTCGGCAGGCATCAACACCAATTGTAACAGTTGAAGGCAGTACATGGAAGCCAAGGTATATTTTCAACTGATCAAACAGCTAAAGATATATTTCTATACAGTTTATATTCTTTAACCAATCACTGAGCGGGTCATTTTTAAACGACATGAAAAAGAATGTTGCTAACGCAGTATTGAACTATCGGAATAGTATTCTGACTCTAACGACAAATAGAATGTTCGAATATACACATAGTATTCTGTTGCTAATGCCGCACTGAACTGTGGGAATATTTGAAATAATATTCCGTTAGAAAACACAATGTCAGTATCGCACCACCACAGAACAGGAAAATATAAAAATGTAACCAGACGCAGGTTTTGCGTAATGAAGGGGAAAAATGTCAGAAAAGAGCTTGTAAACCTACGTTGTAATCTCTGAATAAACAACATCTCATTACCAGCATTATTATTATTATTACGTATATTATTCTCATAAAAACCTTCATTTTTTTCAAGTTTCATTATTTCTACTTGTTTACATGTATTCATTTTTCAAGAGGAGAGATAAATTGTTACAATATGTAGAATGCTGGAAATTCTATGCTCGAATGAAAAGTTATCGTTTGAAATAAAATTATTATTATCATTATAAGTAGTAGTAGTAGTGTGGTGACAGCTGTCTGCAAGACAAAAATGTAGACGACAAATGACGTCAATGTTAACGTCCCAAATCTTGGTCAGGAGAGAAAACAAGGACAAAGCATAACCTTGACGAACTCAACAACCAATCACAGCAGATTTAGCGTGGGCGGATGCGATTAGCAGATATATGGTCTGACCTTCAAAGAAACGGCCACAAAGAGATGACAGAATAACCTTCAACAGGAAAACAACCAATCAGAAGACGTTGCTTCTCTGCGAACAATAACGAATAGTAACGTACATAAAAACCTATAAATATCTGTTACCTGGCCCTTGTCTTCTGTCGTTACAGAGGTAGTATCGTTGACTGTATTGTCTGCACATTTTTAAAATTGCAAATCAATACATAATGACTGAAAACTGCATTCTTTATTAGTCAATATTCGCAATTATCAAATCAAATTGTAATTTACACAATTCTAGGTAGGATTTCACCATTAGAGTTTCCACTGGGAACTAAAATTACTCATATCACATATTCTATGTGATCTGCCTCGATGTCAAATACTGTAATCAAGTATAAATGCATCATGCTACATACTACTGACTGATTAGGATTCAACTGTCTGAAATGAGTCAAACTGGGTCCTTCGCTGATAAACTAGGCCTCAAACGAGCGAAATGGCCTTTCTGTGTAATGATCACCTCGACCAGATAAGGAAGTACGACAGTTTGGTGTGAGTAGTATATAACTACTTATTACAACCAATCAGTAGTATATAGTTTTGTGCACTATTAATTACAATCTTCTACTTATTAAGATTAATTTGGTAACTCCATTATAGATAAGATTTCATTTTGATAAATCATACAGTGTTGTATGTACAGTAATATTTACTGATCACCATGTTTCGAGCACAAACTACTGTTGCTCATAATCATATCAAGGCACTACTCATACAACTTTCCTGCTTCATTTATATATATCAGTGGAATTGATGATTAGACATTTGAATAAAAATCAATTAAAATGAAAATAATGGTGAAACTAATAATGATAACAGATATAAGAAAGAATATAAGGCATCTGCAGTTATACTATATAAGGAGGGGAAATCTGAGATCCTGAGTAGGATTGTAAACAAAGCAGGAATTAGAGTGGCATTCAAACCCATAAACTCACTCAGAGACAAGCTCTCTAAGCTAAAGGATCCTATAGGTTGACCCAATGTGACAAAATAATATAAATTACAAAATACCCCCCAATGACTGTGAGTTAAGTCAACTACATCATTCAAACTAGTAATGGCTCAGGAGTAGTGAGATTGTCAAAACATAAGAATTTATCTAAGGTTGGAATGATTGATCCCAAGAAGATAAGTAATTTAGAAAGAAACTCAGCACTGCATTGCACTGCACGCATTAACACAGAACTACACAATAGGTTGGGTTGAACATAATCAAAATTCTACCAGGTAATATAGGTGGGTGGAGAGGGAGAAAGATTGATTACTGGATCCTGCCTGGTTCATCGAGTCTACACCCAACACATGCGACAGAAATGACCCAATGCAAATAGCATAGACATGGAAGATATTATTACCACCAGTCAGTCAAATCAGAGGAAGATGATAAATAATCTTAAAATTCCATTTCAACTCACGCACATCATAACATTCTAACAAGTTACTACTTTATTTTACTATAAAAATATCTTATTTCCCATCTGATTGTATTTGACTGATTACACTAGTATTATTTCAGAATGTACTTCCTTTTCTATTGATTTTTATTCAAATGTCTAATAAATTAAGCAAGAAAGTTGCGTGAGTGACTTGATACAATTTTGATTGGCAGTAATAATTTGTGCTCGAAACGTGGTCCTCAGTTAATATTACTGTGCAACACTGTGTGATTTATCAAAATAAAATTTTATCCACACTGGAGTTATATTCACAGTGCCCAAGTTTTATACTCATGTCGATAAATTTGATAGTTTTAAATTAAAAGGAGAAAGGTTAGACAAAAGATAAAGATGAAGGATTAAACATGAGACTGACAATCTTAAACTATGAAGATCAACATCATCTCTGATGAAACCCCAAAACTCAAGTTTGAAGCTCCGATCGCCCCACGCCTTTACGTCCCACTCGGAATGCAAAGGAATGCAAGAAACCGGCTGTATATATGCCATGATGGTTCACTTCAAAACAACAACAGCTATTCCATTCTTTGTCTTGAAATCACACGGTTCCAATGTAGATTAAATCATAAATTTAAAGCCAGTTAGAGAAGCAAATATACGAAACCAGTGTCCAGTGTGGAAACCAGAGTTAGTTTGTCAAACTGTTAAAACATCATCTTGTGAACAGATTATGCATGCATTAGAATTTCACAAAGAAAGATTTTATACTATACAATCGCCCACTGAACACATACACAACGCTTACCTCAATAAATCCAACAAAGAGTCCAATGTTTCAGGTCTTCTCTCTGCTATTGTCCCTTCACCAATTTCTTCTTTAATTGATTTATCACCCGGATGAATGCACAGCACTAAACCGATACCCAAGATAACAGCAAGCATTGTTGTCACTACATAGTAGATCAATGCATATGAACCAATTTTTCCACTTGACTTTGGATCCAGACCAGCCAGGCCTTAGGCAGGAAATGAGAAGAAGAAGAAGAAGAACAATGTAAATTTGATTGTTTTTAAAAATATTTTTCTCCTCAATATTTGCTGATTTCGTTTTTTTGCATTTTAATTTCGAAAACAAAAAACCAACATAATATGGACAAAAACTTTATCTGCTGTTACCAGCAGAGATAACTATTTTGGGTTGTGGGTGAAGGCGAAGGAAAAGAGAGAGAGAGATTGAACAAACCTTTTCTGAACACAGATATTGAACTGAAAATCTTTTATGGCAACTGCTTCAGCTACGCTTAGCGAACGAAGACGAACCAACCTAAGGAGTCTATGTGGCATGTTTTCTGAAAATGTATCAGGTGAGTTCTTGTCAATCTTGTGCTCCGTATTCACTAGGTTTGGCAGTATCGAATTCCTGATTGACTTGATGACTCCTCCACCTATCCATGTTGGACAATGTTCCTTGGCGGCCTGTTCGAATTTTTGGGCCTGCTATTATTATATATCTACATATTACATCCAATCTACCGTTTACTCCCATTTATTTATCACCTCAATATGAATTCTAACAGGATCATTTACCCTCGTAACTTTATTCATCATTTACAACCCAATGACTTTCATATTCCCACGAAATCAAGGAGGAAGCATCGTAGTGGTTGGCAGAAAGCTCTTAAACGTACATCAAACCAGAAGCCTATATAGAAAACTATATGCTCGCACCAGCAAGTACAAAAACTCAACTATACCCTACTTAGTTCGTGTTCTGTGTGATAAAGAAAGCATTAGGCGTGAGATTTATAACTTAATAAATAGTTAGTAGAAAAATTGAATCTCGTCCTTCCAACTCATATCATTTATAGGTACAACATTTACTTTCTTTCTTTTCCTTTTCTCTCTCTTTTTTCTCTTTTCTCCGTTATCTACTGCTTTGTTTTTTTCTTCCGCTTACGCTAGTAAAAACGATAGCACCTACCTTTCTAACACCTTCAAACACTGTTCAACTTTGGCTTTGCTATCAACATACCAATATGTTGTTGTCATAATGAACTGAGATTTTCCTTAATCTATGTAGAATTCTATTTATTGATAATGTACTAACTGGATGCAATACTGTAGTAAAAATGCTGAGAATTCCATTCTGTATCACAAGTACTGTTTTGGAATAAAGCAAATTATTATTAATAAGGGCGACATTGGGCTTCCCGAGTCATTCTACCCGTGTCATTATCTCCACATGAACAGTCAAACTTATAAATGCTCATTAAATTGTCAAGAATCCGCAGTTGATCCTTCACCTGCATTGAAATTATGTAACGAGAGGTGAATTTTAAACACAGTGTTGAGGCAGGATAAGCTACTAATGCTTGACAATTCAATGTGCATTTATAAATTTGACTGTTCATGTCAAGACATTGACACAGGTATAACGACTCCGATAGCACCTCAACGCCTTCTGGTGCATTGTCCAACGTGGTTAGGTAGAGGAGTCGTAAAGTCAATCAGGAGTTCCATACTGGCATACCTAGTAGATACGCAGCACGAGACTGTCAAAAAATCAGATTTCAACCCAAGCTCTGAGTTTGGAGACTGGCCTTCGCTTCAGACCTAAAATAGTTAAGTCTCCCAGTGACACTGGATTATTTATTATTATTTCTTTTAATTCCTAGAGGAACATAGGGCTTCAGCCGCGCGTCGCCACTGCGTTCAGTTCTCTTCTAGCGTTTTCACCTGGTTCCAAGTCTGCCCACATGCTTTCATCTCCTCTTCACATGACCTCCTCCAAGTCACCCTTGGACGACCGACTCGCCGTTTCCCTTTCGAGTTCCACTCGAGCATTGGCTTGGCAAGTGATGTCACTTGATGGTTTCCTCAGAGTATGACCAGCCAATCCATCTCCATTTCTTCCTGCCTATTTGTTTCACAATCGGTTCCTGGTTGGTTCACTCACTGCCAGAGATCTCTGTTGCTGATCTTGTCTGTCCATCTGATCTTGAGTGGTATTGAGCGAAGACAGTTGTTGATGAAGGCCTGTAGTTTGCTTGAGGTGCTCTTTATGACGCGCCAAGTCTCTGATACATATAGTAGCACTGACTTCACATTGGAGTTGAAAATTCGGATCTTATTTTTCATGCTGAGTACTGCTGATCTCCTCCACATAGACTTGAGAGTAATGATAGCTTGTCTTGCTTTCCCGATCCTTGCTTTGATATCCTCATCAGTTCTGCCTGTAGTTGAAACGATGCTTCCCAGGTAGGTAAAGGAGGTTGCTTCTTTCAGATTCCCATTTATGCTGATTGTTGTCTGTTGTTGTTGTCCAGGAATCTTCATCATCTCTGTTTTCTCTATGTTCACCTGAAGTCCTATACTCTCTGGATGCTTCTTCTGCCAACTTGTTGCTTTTGACTTGCATATCTTCCAGTTTGTGGGAAATCAGATATGTATCATCGGCGAAGTCCAGACCCTCCAAGTGTTTTGTGTGGGTCTATTGTCTGCCTGTTTCCTCATTGCCCGCCGTCTGTCGCATTATGCACTCTACTGCAATCAGGAAAATCATTGGCAATAGTAGATAACCTTGTCTTACTCCCATCTTCACTTCGAAGGATTCCGTGAGTTTCCCGTTGTGGATTACTTGGCATGCAGCATTGGTAACACTTGATAACTGTAAATATTGTCATATAACATTCTTTATTTTATGTGTAGTGTTAACTGTACTATTACTATCATGCTGTGCTGTAGTATTACAATTTAATCTTGGTTCAACAGTGTATTATTATTATTATATTATATAATCGCTACGTGACAGTTGTTATTTCCCCCTCCACCCCTACTAGCGCACACATTCTACCTATACACTCACCGTTGCCTAGATTATACAAACACTTGAATGAATTTATCCTTGTTGTTATTATTACTATGATGATCACCCCGATTGTTATCCGTTAATTCACATCCCTCAACTCTGATCTTATACATTTTACTCACCATATTAATTCAAATGTTTATGACTAATATCTCGTCATTATGTTAATGTAAAGCCTGTTGAGAATTTACTGAAAGTTATACGTATTTGAATAAGGCATTTAGAAGACAAATTTCGCGAGATGATGGCATCATTTCGTAGTTTCTTTACAACCGCTATACACAACTAACATGGTTGACAATAATAAAATAAAGATCATGACAATTACTCAGTTAAATAAGAAACACAAAAGTACATGCTAATGACCAATCATATTTAGATAGGTCAAGTAGTCCAGGGTAGGCGAAAATTGAAGTCTATTGATTTTTGTACCCACAGTTTAGGCAGTATGTGATTAATCCAAAGTGCTTCCATCACCTTCAATAACCAACGCTGAATTAGAGTTATGTGAAATAATTGTGAAACAGTCATTAATATTGATTTTGTGACCTGACATTAATAAGTGTTTAGCAATGGATAATGCTGGATTTCTATTCAGATTAATTGCATTGGGATTTTCTGTATGATTTAGTAACCATTTTGGAACATGTTCTTTTCGACGACCATATTGGAACATTCTATTGGTTCTACCTGTATAGGTGTCACCGCAACTGCAGTTGAACTTGTAGATACAGTTTGAAGTAGAGTCCACAGAATTTCGTCCTTTAATCGTAGGTACAGGGATCGAAAATGTTCGGCAAGTGAGAAAAAGAGATGCGGCATAGAATGTTCGTTTGATGGCTGACCGAAGTGTCTTTGAGTTAGCTGTCAACTGCATAATCTGGTCACCCTTGAATGGTAGGTTAATACGTATTTGCCTATGTTGTGTTCTATAAATATCACTATGGGAATTTTTATGTATTATTAAGAACCTTTACGATGAACAAGTGGGATATCTGTTTTCGATTCTCTGCCGACTCATTCCTAAACCCAGCCTAGTTTATTAACCTGTAGTAAGCTGGGATAAAAAAGGATGGTTGTCTACCTGAATAAAAATGAACTGCAACGCTACTGGAATTTTAAAGCTTGAATCCCTGTTTTCCATTCAGAATATTAAAGAAATGGGAGAGAAAACCGAAAAAAATGGAAACACAAACAGGTTGATCTTGACTGAGAAATTTCAAAGGAAAACATCACATTGAAACTTGAGTTCTTTTATGCTATTCCGACTGGAATATAGGGCTTCAGCAGTACATCTCCACTTTTGCCTGTTTTTTACAGGTCTCATCATCTGTCCCCATTATTTTAAATAGTCTCACATCTCTTCCTTACATGATCTTTTTCATGTCAACTTTCAGATTGACAAACAACTCATCGTTTCCGATTTTGGTTTCACTCGAGTGACATTAATCACTATTTTCCACAACTTGTGTCCAATCCACCTCTATTTTCTTTTATACATATCTGTTGAGCAATAAGCTCCCAGTTAGTATGTTCCCAGAGTTATTTTGTTGTTGATCCTTTCTGTCTGACTATCTGATCGTCAGTATGGAGCCAGGGAAGCCAGCTGTTGATAAATGACGCGTTGAACCTCTGATCTATGTAGAAGAATTCACTTGATATTAGAGTTGAAAATCAGAATTTCGTTCTTTAGGCTGCAGAATACACACATTGATGAAGGTCTGCCACACCTTTCTGATTCTGGCTAGTTTTGATATCCTCATCCGTGTCGATTGCCTATAGTCGAAATGATACTTTCTAGATAAGTGAAGGGAGTAACTTCTACCAGATTTTTTCCCTTGATAGTAATTGATGCACGCACGGTTATCTTCATTACCACCGTCTTCTTCATTTTTATCTGAAGTCTTGGATTTGCTACTCATAGTAGTTAGTAGTATATCAAGTATTCTCAAGAATTTTATTGTTGTTTCGTTCTCTGATAGCTTAAACACTTCATGCAGTATAAGAGAGGTGTAGACTGCTGTTTATGCTAGTTTATACATGTATATAATTTCGGTTTGCCTTGACTGGATACCGCCAGCTTACAGTAATGGATGTAAAAATGTGGAGTACAATGAAGACGAAGACGTTATTTTGAAAGCAATCGGT